CACAACTGCTATTCAGAGTTATGCACCAATCTCTAGTGATGAAGAAATTGAAGAATTTTATCAACTACGTTTTAGTGTGAAAGTGAGGAAGCATTCAATTAAGATATATTGATAATTATTGGCAATTGCAACGCGTAAGTTAGAAACAAAGAGGTACAGTAACTGGGAAATATGGTGTTGGTGATGGAAATGAAACAAGATTTTATGATAGAATTTTGTAAGACTAAAGACTTCTTCACTGTAAATTTCTTTTTGTCCAACTTTATAAACAGTGATTGTACACATGGACCTCACCAGAGTACACAGGAATCAATTTAGCTATATCTGAAGGCAGAGACAATAGAGAAGCTCAATATCAGCAGTCAAAATGAGGTCAGGGGTCAACTATCTAACTATGGAACAGACCATTAAGTGCTCATATGTTAGTTCAGGTTGAATTTGAAGAAAATAAAAACAAGCCCACAAGAGCCAAAGTAAGACATTTCTTTGTATCCTATCTGAATTTTGAGAACATCTTAAGAACAGTGTTGAAACATGGAACACTAATGACAGAAGACTTCATAAGCTGTTGGATGACATTAAGAACATTGTACCGGAAGAAAGCAAAAGGTCATTAAATAGACGATCCAGAAAAGACTAAAGTGGATGCCAGAAGAGACTCTGAAACTTGTTCTTGAACATAGAGTAGCTAAAATGAATGGAAGAAATTATAAAATAAAAAAGCTGAATAGAAAATTCAAAAGGGCAGCTTGAGAGGTAAAGTATTATAAGGAAATGTGCATAGACCCAGAGTTGAAAAGCCAAAAAGTAGGAACACATTCAGGATATCTCAAGTTGAAAGAACTGAAGAAAATATTCAGGACTTGAGTTGTAACATTGAAGGATTATGTGGGCAAAATATTGAATGAAGAGGGAAGCAGCAAAAGAAGACGGAAGATGACAAGTATAGGGAAGCTGGCTGGCTGATCCCTCTTACAATGGAAAGTGTGATTGAGGAGAGGGATGGTCTCAGAGCCTCAGAAGCGCACCTTAGGTGCAGACTAACAGATTTGAAAACTTCCACCTGTGCTACAAAGGAGAGCCTTCTCTCCTCTAGCAAAAGAGCTGACATTGCTGAGAACCAGGTCC